CGAAGCAATGTCTCGAGCGCTGCAGGAGAAGCTGTGGGTGTGTTGAGAGTTCAGTGGCATTTTGGTGCTTGGGTTTGGGGAATGCCTGTCAGTCTCACCCTCGACCTTGAATGCTCCCAGGCACTATGCCCTAGAACCCCAAACTGATCTCCACCACCTGCAGCCCTGAACCCCAAACCCTAAACCCTAAACCCTAAACCCTAAACCCTAAACCCTAAACCCTAAACCCTAAACCCTAAACCCTAAACCCTAAACCCTAAACCCTAAACCCCCCCAAATTGTCGGCGTTTGGGTTTGAGGTTTCTAGTGCGGATCTCCTCGGGGAAGCGTGGCCCCAAAGCCCTTTGTTGCCTCTCCGGTTCCGAGCTGATGGCCTTCTGTCCGGCTCGCGCACACAACCCTGACACCCCTTGCAAGCCCTCCCCCTCTGAAGCCGCGAGCCCAACCTTCCGGCCAAGAAACAAGCCCCCAGTAATCCCCAAACAGCCCGCCGAAAAGCAACCCTTAAAGCAACCCCTAGGCAACCCAGCCCTAAGCAACGCTTAAAAAACAACCATTCGAAAAACCCATAAGCAAGCCCAAAACAACCCGTAAGCCACCCCAGAATCACCCGAAAGACGAGGAGAATGTGGCGAGGATGGAGGTGCGTCAGCAGCGGGTTTAAGGCGTTTAGGCGTGAGGGGGCTGTGGGTTAAGTGTTTAGTTTAGTGGTTTAGGGTCCTAAACCCCTAAGCCCTAAACCCTAAACCCCAAACCCTAAACCCTAAACCCTGAACGCAGGGTTGAGGACTGAGGGTCTTCGGGGGTTGGGAGGGGAGGGGCATGAAAGGGCTTGGGGACCCAAACCCTGCGAACCCTGCAGGCGCTTTGAACCCTTGTTAGGGTTTCTATCGGGTTTATGCGGCTTCAGGGTTTAAGGGTTCCGGGGTTAAGGGTTTAAGGGTTCAGGGTTCAAGGGTTTAAGGGTTTAAGAGTTTAAGGGTTTAAGGGTTTAGGGGTTCAAGGGTTTATAAGGGTTCAGAGTTTGGGGTTTACGGGTTCAGGTTTAAGGGTTTGGGGGATCCATGATGGTTCGGATTGGGAGCCCGAAGCTAAACCTTGAGCCTCCAGGGGTCCTAAGGGAAGTCTCAACGTTGAGCCCTCCCCCGCCTTTCGACGATCGAAGAGGATCCCTCCCTTTCGACGATCGAAGAGGAAGACGAAGCGGAAGACGAAGAAAACAACGAAGACCAGGTGGCATGCTCTGATTCGAGGCTTTCGGGCTTCGGTTGAGCGTTGAGCTCGGCTTAAGTTCTATAAAATCTATAAACCCTAAGTTCAAATCCCTGAACCCTTAAACCCTAATCCGTGAGCACAGGGTTAAGGATTGAGGGTCTTCGCGGGTTGGGAGGGGAGGGGCATGAAAGGGCTTGAGGACCCAAATTCTGCAGGCGCCGCAAATCCTTTTCAGGGTTTGTCGGGTTTACAAGGGTTTAGAGGGATTAAGGGTCTAGGGTTTAGGGGTTCAGGGTTTACGTTTTGGTGGATACATGATGGTCTGGACCAGGAGCCCGAAGCTAAACCTTGAGAGCCTCCGCGGGTTTTTGAGGAAAAGTCTCACCGTCGAGCCCTCTCCCAAACCCTAAGCCTTAAACCCTAAACCTTACTAGAAGAGGGATGGCCCGAAAGCATCGATTTGCCGTGCGTTGACTCCATGCACTTGATTCTTTGTAATCGAACTGTATGCACTTGGAGAAATGTATGCCCTTACATGGTTGCATAGTCACTTGTACACTGCACTTGTATGCACTGGAACCGCATGGCATTCAAGTGTGTGGAGTTGAATGCCATGCACTTGTGGTCAACTCTGTAGACTTTTCATCGGCGTTGAAGACAACGCCGAGCTCCAGCGGCCGGTCGCGGCACGCACCTGCGCCGGTGCAAGGAAAGAAGCAGAAACCACACAAGCACAAAAACAGACAAAAGAGGTGGAGTCTAAGTAAGGGCCGTGCATGTTGGTCGCCATGGAATACCTGCGCGCAGAAAACAGCTTTACTTGCAAGTCGGTCGACAAAGGTGCCAATCGTCCCGGGCGGTCCTAGCTGCATTTTCACACACGCGTGCGTCGCACCGTCATATTAAACAGAGGTGGCCGCGCCGTCGTACTTTCGCAAGACAGCGTCCGTTTGGGGAACCCACATGTGTATTTGTCTGACATGTGGCACCCGCGCTCCGAATTGACACGCTGCCTTGCAGAGGCTAACCTTTTTATCGCAAGCGCGCCGTCGACTTGAAATCATGTGCGCCAGCTTCCCACTCCGGGTCGCGTCGCGCTTCCCTCTCCATTCCGGATTGACGTTACTACTTACTACAAAGCTACTCAGCAACTTCGAACTGAAAGGACAGCTCAACTGGCTTGGTCCAGCCCAGCATGGACCTTGGCCGCCCTCCCACCGACACGGGCATCTTGAAAGCCTTGACGTCCAGGACCACCCAGCCGAAAAACCGCTTAGCACCCGAGGACCACCAATCGAATGGACTGTCGACCTCGATGAGCGTATCCTGCCTGTGAGAGTCGAAGTCCCGATCGTCCAAGAACTCGGTCGCCCCAGCAAAGGTGATGATGCCCAGGACCTGAGCCCGTGAAGGAGGAGGGCCAATCTCCGTGTCCACGATGGCACCCTTGGTGGACCCGGCGCCGACGGTCTCTATGAGGAAGAGCTGCTCGCCCTCCGAAAAGCACTGGTAGTGACCGAGGGCGTACTTCCTCACCTCCATCTTTTTGCGCCCAAGCATCAACAGCCGACTCCATGGGTACTGGACATTGAGGCCGCAAAGCGAGAGGCGCTGAGTCGACAAAAAAACTTCATTGGACACCGAAGCAGGCAAGTTAGGATCTTTCAGCCGTGCTGCGCGAGCGACCAACTCGGCCGCCGTGCCGCATTCTCGCATGGATTTCAAGTCTGCAAGAGCTTTCCTTCTGCTGTCACGCAGCGGACCTCTGATCGAAGTGTCCTTCTCCTCGCAGATGCGGATGTGCGCAAAATGCGCTCGCCAGCCATATCCATGCTTCTCCACGATCCCGCGCTGGCTAAGTTCCTGTGACTTTCTACCGAGACCCGCCATGCTGCAACTTCACACCTGCCTCGAGCCAAGGTAGAGATCACAACAAAACTCTGAGCGCAGGAGAAGATCCACAACACCGTCCCCAAGTTGTTTGCGAGGATTTCAAAGCTCCATGCGCTCGGGCCATCCCTCTAGAAGCACGCATGCGTGTAGAGCATCCGATGGAATGTGTGACGGCGCATATGTGTGCATGTTGAGGCGCAGGCAGGAGGCCAAGCAGCTTTGCATTTTATATCTTGGGCTGGTACACGCGAAAGACCCTTTCGCAAGACAGCGTTGAGGGGAGTAAGCAAGGGTTCAAACTAGCGAGAGTTCTGCAGGCGGTGCAAAGCCAAGAGAGCATAATCTCTGCATTTCCACGGTTGCAGAGCTGGCCGAGCCGACAAGATGCAGTCCACAGCTTCATCTGCGCTGCATTGGCCGTCCAGCACCAGCCAAGCGCAAGAGGGCAGTAGGACTGCGATTAATGCCACCGAAGCAATGGAAGAGCACGTTGAACTCCTCGCTCGCCTGTTGGCACTGCTCGCGCAGAGTGCGCAAAGTCTGAGCCATGTCTGTCCAAGCCTGGGCGCACCGCTCTGCGCTCTCGAAGAACCAGGAAGCATCCCGGTTGCATTTGATTCTGGGGTCGTCCAATTCAACTTGGACGTGCCGCACACCAGAGCGGGAAAAGTGCTCGCGCCAGTCTTGGGGAGCCCCCCTGACTCGCAGCTCAGCTGGCCGGCACACGCTCACCACAACCGTCACAGAAGTGTTGGTGCTGACCTCGACGTGGAAGATGTCGGCAGCCGAGCGCACGCTGCCCAGCAAGCAGCTCTCACCAGGCTTCGCAGACCGCACCACCACGGCATCGAGAGGCCAGTCGGAGATGTCGCCCAGGTTGTAGGAAGCTCTCCAAACAGTATAGTCCATGTCTGACCAAGGTCCCTCATTGTATTTTGTGGAGATGTCGAGCTGCCTCTGTCGAATCCAGCACATCTCCGCGTCGGACATTGTCGGCCCAGAAGACGTCAGCGAGGACTCCATGCATATGCAGAAAGCAGCAAGGAGGTTTCACTGCAGACCGCTCGTCGGGCCAAAACTAGCTTTTCGAGCCAAAGCCAGCAGCGCAGCCAGGTCTGCGGGTTTAGGGTATCTTGTTCAGAAGAGTGAGGGGCTGAGGTTCTGGGGTTCGGGCAGAACAATGTCAGAATGACATTCCCACACAGACAGACACAAAACCACGTCATCGACTGGCCTAAAGCTCGGGATGTCTCCCATCCACGGTCAACGTCAAAGGCGAAGAGAAGTTGAGGTCAAGAAGAAGGCTACAGAAGAAGCACTGTTTCAGTCCTGCGCTCTAGTGAGAAACGAACTTGCCCAGTCCCGCGGGCTGCATCCCCACACCTCCGCAAGACGGCGTCCATGCGGTTCCGCAGCCGCGCATCTTCGCAACAGAGCGGCCATGCGGTTCCACGGTCGCGCTACATGTGTGCGGTGGCGTGAAACACACGTAGCCGCTCAGACCGCCGGGATACGTCAGCACCGCCCCTAGTCATCATGCCGATGAGCAGCCTCAGATGAAAGATGCGGGAGAGACCTCAAGGCAGACATTCGCACATCTTCCTCGTTGTACCAATCCACAATGCAACGTGCGCAATAGTGCGCCTGATGTCCATACTTCGTTCTCATGCACGGACGGTCGTGCATCTCGCAGGAGAAAGTACAACTGCCTCTTCGCGGCGGGCAAAGATTCCCCATTGCGGCAAGGAGCAAAAGGGCGCGGTCACCTAAGCAAACGTCGCAAAAAGGTGCTGCGGCGCCCACACGAATGCACGCATGTCACCATGCACTCAGACATCATGCCAACGTGTGAGTTGTGTCAAGTGAGTCCAAGGAGACATGCCATGTCATTCTCAGTCCAGGGAGACACGCAGTCTTTTTAGCAGGAGCTGCGAGAGTGTGCGCATGCCCACAGGCGCTGCAGGCGCTGACTGACCTGTCCAGGGCGAGCCTTCCGCCGTGTCCGGCGCCGGCGCACCTTCCGCAAGACAGCGTCGGGCGCGCGGCGCCGGGGTCAGGCTCCGGCAAATAAACATCCGCAAAACTGGACCCTAGAGTCTCGAGTGCTGTCTAGGGCGAGGCTTCCGCCGTGTCCAGCGCCGGCGCACCTTTCGCAAGACAGCGTCGTGTGCGCAGCACCGGGGACGGGCTCCGGCAAATAGACATCCGCAAAACTGGACCCTAGAGTCTCGAGTGAAACATGTCTATAGGGCGAGGCTTCCGCCGTGTCCAGCGCCGGCGCACCTTTCGCAAGACAGCGTCGCGCGCGCAGCAGCGGGGACGGGCTCAGGCAACGTCCCAGGCTGCGCACTTCACCTTCGTCGGCGTCTCCTCGATGAGACTGGTGGCCGGGCGCTTGTTGCTCTGCAGCGTCGGCTCCCCCGCGAGCAAGTCCCAGACCATGGCGCGCTCTGTCTCCAGGTTGCGAACTTGAGCCTCCGTCGCCCGGGACATCCACTCCACGTGCAAGACCACAGCGTCCGTGGCCTCGTTCCTGAGTACGCGTCCCACCAAAAACCGTGGTTGGCCGTCTGCCATGTTGAAGAGGTGACAGCTGGTGAAGTGACAAAAGGCCTCGATCGCGAATGGCTGGGCGCCGTCCATGTGTGGGTACGAAAAGACCTGCTGGTGCTTGGTGACCAAATGCTTCTCGCCGCCAATGTCCACCTCGTCCATGGACGGCTCGTCCTTGGCGAAGGCCAGCAGCGTCACGCACTCCGCGGACACGGAACCGCGCGTGAAGAAGGTCCCGAGGTCCGAGCAGGACAAGTCTGAGAACAGACTCTGCACAGGCAGGACCGCGCCATCCCTCATTTCATTTACCAGGCGCGTCACCTTCTTGACCATGGGACGCGCGCGCTCATCGTAAGCTTCTCCGAAGGAAGGACGAGCTGCTAAGATCTGAAATTGCGTCGGAGCACTTGCGGATGCCTGCGAAGCTTGCGAGGACTGCAGCAAAGCGCCGCGGGGCTGCCCCAGCCGCTGTGAAGTACCCAAGCGAGCATCGAAGGGCCCCTTGAAGCAAAGCGCCTGCGGGCCCTTGTCCCGAAGCAACTGGGCCAGCGCCTGCTCGTCCGCGACCCGGGCCAGCACTGCGAGCTCCGCTCCTCCCACCAGGACATTGTCCAGCTGCCCCGTCCAATCCGCCACGTGCACGGTGGCCAGCACGCGACGCTCAGCGTACTGCTCTCCCGCGGACTCCCGCTGGCGTTCGCCAAGAGGAAGCGGCGAGGCTTCGACGGACAGCTGCGCCGCCAGCGCAAGCTGGCTGTCGTACCGAATCCGGCATGCAGCTTCCAAGACTTTTGCGCGCCACCGCTCCAGCTCGATGACCAGCTCGCCTCGCGCAGAGCTGGCCATCATGCATCGCAAACGGCTGGCCAGGTCGTGGCCCAGGAGAACGATCAAGATGTGCGGATGCATGGACCCGCGTCCTTGTGTCTCCAGAGGGCCGCAGAAAGCAGCGATGTCCCCAAAGCAGCCTGGGAAGGTCGATGCGGCGAAACCGTCCTCGTAGACCCCGGCCTGACCCGCCCTAAAGCTGGCTCGCTTGAAGGGCGGCAAACATCCCAAGACTTCTTCGAAAAATAGGGTCATCATGAGGTCAAAGAACCTCGCCTGAGACACGGGGTCGGCAGCTAGAATCCGACGCATGGCGGTCACGCACGGCAGAATAGGCTGCTCCAGATCCCAACCCAAAGAAACCTCGTAGTTCTCCACCTGCCCATCCACGCCCTGCGTGTGCAGCTGCAGAAGCAGGGCAGCGCGAGAATCTGCGAGGTTGGGCGTCATGAAGACGTGCGCGTTGCCGTAGTGCCAGCCAGCCGCATGGCCTCGAAGTCGAATTTGACTGCGATGTCCTTCTGTGCCGAGGACACTGGCGCTGGCCTGCAGCACGCCGCCTAACGCGCGCTTCAGCGACACATCCACATCCGGTGAGCGCAACAACTCACGTATGTCGGCCTTCTCGCCGTGCAACGCCATAGCCTTCAGCAGCTGCTCCGTGCTGACCGAGGCGATCATGGCGCAGTGCCGACTGAAGCCGCTCCGTTTGACGTATGCTTTCGATGTGCGCATGAGAGAAAGTCGGCGGTTGGTGTCGTACATGACAGGCAAGAGCTGTTCCTGGCACGCAACTGTCGCTATACAGATATAGCAAATTAAGACAGCGTCCAAAAGCGATTCAATATACTATCAAGGACAAAGTTCGACCTAACCAAATCTTAATACGACCGGGATGCGGACAGACTCCAACGAGGAAGAAGGGGCGTCTCGGCGCTATCTCCATACGCCAGCTCCTCACGAAGTAGCAAGTACCGAAAGACTTCGCCTGCCTCCATGCCAGTCTCGCGCTTGACGAAAGGCACGCCGTCTCCCCAGGGGAAAAGATCCGGGAATGCCATGGCCCAGGTAGCCGGCTGAAACATGTTCATGGGCTCGTCGCGAGAGGGCACCACAAGTTTCTGAGGTCGCACTTCGAACATTTGGCCCTGAGCCTGGCGCTCGTGCTCCACACTGTTAGCTAGCGACTGCACCCTTCGCACGCGGCTCAGCACGCGCTGCTCCTGAGCTCCCTCGCGGCCCAACAAGCCCCCGGCATCTGCCTGCTCAGGACCCAAGTCGTTTTGAGCCCGATTGCGAAGAACCGATTCAGCCTCGGTATAGTCTTGCCGCGGCTTGCGACGGCACAATTCTTCCACATCGCGGCAGACTCGAAGCCAGCGGTTGCCCTGGTCTGAGTCATCGTTGAGGCCAACGATACTAGACACGAGATGACCTGACTCCAGCGCAGCAGGTGGATTTCGCAAGACAGCGTCCTCCGAGCTGCTACCGGCTGGCGCGGCAGGCTGCTCCTCGCGCTCGTCTTCCTCAGCTTGCCCTTGCGCGTCAGCTGGCCCCTTTTGCAAGAGTTCACGGGCCAAGTAGCTGTCAACGGCAGTCTCCAAAACACAGCCTTCCAGCACGCTGTCCTGGAGTCTGCCCGGGTCCAGAGCAACCGAACGGTAGTAAGGCGAGGTCGTCCGAAGTTTCTCCACGGCTGCAACGTACTCGTCTCTGGGAGCTTGCAAGACATTGCTGGACTTCAGTTCCTGTTTCTTCTGGCCGACAAGAACGAACAAGATGTTCTCGGCCATGTCCTGGTCTTGGGGGGCAGAGTCGCCTGAATAGCTCCAGGGCCGGCCTGTGGAAGGAAAATCGTGTTGCCGATGTATCCCTTCTGCCTCTCATCGCGCGGTAGCGACAGCGGCTGCAAAACCGTCACCTGCATGCAGACCCGCACGAGAGGGAGTAACCGCTTTGTTCCAGGCGACAGGTTGCTCAGCTCGGGCAGAGAGCGTCCGATCCAGAGATCGTTAGCCAGCGCGTGCCTTGGAAGCATGAGAACGGAGCATTTCAAACTGCTGCGACACTCTCGGCAAACCGTACAAGGGTCCGAGGGTGATGCTGGCATGCGCCGTCGATGCAGCAACAGATACTGTCCCTCCATGTACGGGTGCTGGACAGCGGATGCCTGAAGTTCGGAAAGAGGTATCTGTGGCCAGCGCTCGGCGTACCGATCGATGCCCAGCAATCGGCACAGACGAGCCTGCTGACTCGGCAATACTGTCTCGGCACCGGAGGGCACCTCGATTGAAGACATGTCTGCGTCCGGTGGCTGAAACAGGACCATGGGGTACAGCTCGTTAACCCAGAAGCGACGGGCGCAAACCACACAACCCCCTTCCGCTCGGCCAGCGTGCATTCCAGGAGGGCAGCGCAGCTGTTCGTCGAAGTTGGCTGCGATTGTACGCTGGCGGCTCATCTCAGGCACCTGACTCGTTCAAGCACGACAAAGCGTCAGACACGTACACTTGACATGACAGGCAAAAGACACGTAGAAGGCTATTGCATGTGCCAAGGGGCCACAGGACCTCTGTGCGCTACCATTGCCAGGATTTTCTTGCGGTACTCCACGAAAGCTCGCTCTACATCCAGAGAACGCACGCAATGACTGCTCACAATGTGCTCCTTAAGGTCTGTGAGGTTCTGGCAGTTGAAGTCACACAAGCGACAGCAGTACCTTTCAGAAAGTACTGAAGGGTCGTCCGAGAAAGAGCGCAGCAGGTGGCCGGACACAGCTTCATTCACGGCGGGCAAGGTCGGAGAGCAATCCAGCAGCGCAGCGACACGCTCCAGCTTCCGCGTCAGAGACTTCTGCGGGTCCTGCAGCAGCCTCAGCGCTCCCATGACGACTTGGTTCGCGTCTCCAACCAGATCCTCCAAGGGGACATAACATTGCTTGCGGCACCCGCCCTCGCTCCAGCCAGGAACGGCAAACAGGAGCGCCCTCTCCGCAGCAGAACGCCAAAGAATGCCGGCTTGCGCGTCCGGGCCATTTGCTAAGCAATCCAGTGCCAACGTCGACAACGGCGCAAAGTCCGGAGGGTAAGCCTTTGTCATGGCCTTGACTCTTGCGGCGGCGCCCCCAGTGTAATATTTTTCCGCGCGCTTGGCCAAGACAGGGTTCTCCTCTACCGAAGGGATACGAGAACACCCTTCCACAACCTGCCAAGAGACGAGGTCGTCCCGCAAAGAGAGCACTGCGAGGTCTATACTTTCCTCGCGAGACCTTTCCTCCGACACTGCGTTGGGGCTGTGCAGCTCGCGCACGCCAAGGCCGGCCAGCGGGTGCAGGAGCTCCGTGGCCAAGAACCAAGCAAACTGCGACCAGTCCTCGGGCTTTCGCACGTGGGCGAACGTCTGGGACCAGCGGCATGGCTCGCCGGGCTGCGTCCGTCGCTCCCAACCGTAGCGACGCATCAGGGCGCGCAGCACGGTGGTGTCGCCCTGGTCGAACTTACGGGTCTGATACTTGTGCTGGATGACGCTCAGGACTGCCTCGCAAAACAAGCTAAGAAGCAACAGAGGGCGAGGCATCATGTCGCAGTTCTAAGACGCCCCCCCACCTGGCCTCCATAACATCCTTGCGGTCCTCGTACCCGTCCGTGCTCTGTACTTGCGGCTCCGCCTCCAGGTTGGCCAGCAACCAAAGACGACGAGCGACATCCACGGGGTCCGTTCGCTCAGAGCAGTCAGCTAAACGCCACCAACCTCGGCACGCTACACACATATTCACAGCACAAACGGCGGCAAAGCAAGAAAAGTGAGAAAAAGAGTAATTCTGACGCTCACCTGCTCGCTGATCTGCACGATCTTCAAGCACAGCGGCCAGAAGACATTGCTGCAAAGGCGCAGAAAGAGATGGCACTCTCACTCCTCTCAAGCTAGCTACAGCAGCTTCCCACGCAGTGCTCACTTCCGGGGCCAACGCAACATCTACCTCTGGCCAATGCGGCAGAGCCTGCAAAAGCAGCTCCGCAAGTAGCTGCTGCTCTGCAGCGGAAGAAAGATGCCTGTCGCAAAAGACTGTGGCAGTAATGTCCAGCGAGTAAGCAGCGGCAGGTCTGCGCAAATTCACATCCTCGAAGATGTCAGGGGCAGCAAGGACCACCGCTGCAACAGTGTCTGCTCCAGCTTCGTGAGCTGCTCGGAGGGATCTCCAGACGTGGTATTTGATGTCCGCACTTGCGCTCGGAGCAGCGGCAGGACACAATGCCAGGACGATTCGCTCAGTCAAATTGCTCCTGCTCACACTCTGGAAGGCGACTCCCAACTCCGCCGCCAGTTGCTGTAAGCTGGGCCCGTCGCCTCGGAAGCGCCATTTACGAAGCCTGGCCCGAAGAGACCGAGCCGCGCTTTCGCCGAGCTCTGCTACCCAGCTCCTCAAGCCATCTGCGCTGACATCGTCCTCGACGTCTGCCTGCCCGAACGTAGAAACGTCGAGGCCAAAAAAAGCAAGCAAGATTAAAACGTCAGGTGGCGGGCAGTAAAGGGGGGTGAGAAGAGCCTGAAACTGCCCTAGTCAAGAGACACTGCGCAGGACAAAAGCGAAGCTTTCCCCATGACGCCTCCTGCTCGGATATGCACTGCAACAGAGCGTCTAGAAGCTCCTGTTTGTTTCGCATGCCGGTGCCAGAGCCCTGCTGCACACCCGCAGCCCCAGCCAGCGCCCGCAACTGCTTGACGGTCTTCTTCGCGAGCTCCCCGCGCAGCCAAGCCACGCCGTCAGCAGCAAAACCTTCTCGCAGGCGCTGCAGCTCTTGCTGCAGCGCAGCGCCAGCTTCATCCTGTTCAAAGGTCGACAAGAAAAGCCTGAAACTGCCCTAGTCAAGAGACACTGCGCATGCGCCGCTTGAACGTAAAGCCCAAAAAAAAGCAAGCTCCAAGCCAGAAACAACCTTGACCCCAACCTGCGTAGGAATGCAAACAATATGACACACAAACCTTAGAGAAGGAGGAAACCAAGAATACAAAGCACAAAAATGACGCTTTCCCCAAGACGCCTCCTGCTCGGAAATGCACTGCGAGAGAGCGTCGAGAAGCTCCTCTCTGTTCCGCATGCGCGCACCAGCGCGCAGGTGCACACCCGCAGCCCCAGCAAGCGCCCGCAACTGCTTCACGGTCTGCTTCGCTAACTCCTCGCGCAGCCAAGCCACGCCATGAGCGGCAAAACCTTCGCGCAGACCGTGCAGCTCTCGCTGCGGCGCAGCGCCAGCTTCATCCTGATCACAGGTCGAGAAGAAAAGCCTGAAACTGCCCTAGTCAAGAGACACTGCGCACGCGCCGCTTGAACTTAGAGCCCAAAAATAAGCAAGCTCCAAGCCACAAACAACATGACCCCAACCTGCGTAGGAATGCAAACCATGTGACGCACAAACCTTAGAGAAGAAGGAAACCAAGAATACAAAGCACGAAAATGACGCTTTCCCCAAGACGCCTCCTGCTCGGAGATGCACTGCGAGAGAGCATCAAGAAGCTCCTCTCTGTTTCGCGTGCTCGCGCCAGAGCCCTGTCGTGTGCCCGCAGCGCCAGCAAGCTCACGCAGCTGCGTGACCGTCTTTTTCGCAAGCTCCTGGCGCAGCCAACCTGCACCTTTAGCACGGAAACCGCGCCGCAGCGTCTGCATAGCATCCCCGCCGGTGTACGACATGCCTGGACCTACAAAAACCCGCACGGTCCAAGCTGGCGCCAAGGTTTCACTCAATAGCGCCTCTCGGGCCAAAGCTAGCACGCACGCATGTAGAGCAACGCATCATGAGGTAACAGACATACAGCACACGAACGCTAGCACCGACACACAGTGCGGGATGCCTTCTCCCCTTCATTGACGTCGGCGCGCCCCAGGACGTCCAAATCGGACATCGCCCAAACATGTTACATTTGAGAGCAACCGCTGATCACTTCCCACAGAGAGACGAGTCTGAGCGCAGGACTGGTTGCCTTCCCTCCAAATCGAGATCACTTTTTTCCCGCTCCACTGCATGGCTGATATTTGTCATGGTTTTGGAAACAGCGAATTCGGGGACCATGGTTTTCGCGATGGTTTTGGAAACAGCTAATTCGAGTACCATGGTTTTCGCGATGGTTTTGGACACAGCGAATTCGGGGACCATGGTGTTTGCGATGGTTTTGGAAACAGCAACTTCGGGAACCATGGTTTTCGCAATGGTTTTGGAAGCGAATTCGAACACACCGTCCCCAAGTTGTTTGCGAGGATTTCGAAGCTCCACAATTCCGCGCCCACGCTATTTGCGAGGATTTCGAAGCCCCACAGGATTTCGAAGCCCCAGAATTCCGCGCCCACGTTATTTGCCAGGATTTCGAAGCCCCACAGTTCCGCGCCCACGTTATTTGCGAGGGTTTCGAAGCCCCACAGTTCCGCGCCCACGTTATTTGCGAGGGTTTCGAAGCCCCAGAATTCCGCGCCCACGTTATTTGCTAGGTTTTCAAAGCCCCAGAATTCCGCGCCCATGTTATTTGCGGTGTTTTCATGCGCCCAGATGTCCGTTACCATGCTCTTTGTGGTGTTTTCATGCGCCCAGATGTCCGTTACCATGCTATTTGGTTTTGGAAACAGCAACTTCGGGGACCATGGTTTTCGCAATGGTTTTGGAAGCGAATTCGAACACACCGTCCCCAAGTTGTTTGCGAGGAGTTCGGAGCTCCACAATTCCGCGCCCACGTTATTTGCGAGGATTTCGAAGCCCCACAGTTCCGCGCCCACGTTATTTGCGAGGGTTTCGAAGCCCCAGAATTCCGCGCCCGCGTCATTTGCGAGGATTTCGAAGGCCCACAGTTCCGCGCCCACGTTATTTGCGAGGGTTTCGAAGCCCCAGAATTCCGCGCCCACGTTATTTGCTAGGTTTTCAAAGCCCCAGAATTCCGCGCCCACGTTATTTGCTAGGTTTTCAAAGCCCCAGAATTCCGCGCCCATGTTATTTGCGGTGTTTTCACGCGCCCAGATGTCCGTTACCATGCTCTTTGCGGTGTTTTCATGCGCCCAGATGTCCGTTACCATGCTATTTGCGGTGTTTTCAGACGCCCAGGGTGTCCGCGGCGTACTACGTCTGGAGCAAGCTCCGCGTGTCCGTGGCGTACTACATTTGTACTACAAAAGTCGACTTTCCAGCCACGGAAGCTCCGGGTGTCCGCGGCGTACTACGTTTGTACTACAAAAGTCGACTTTCCAGCCACGGAAGCTCCGGGCGTCCCCGGCGTACTACATTTGTACTACAAAAGTCGACTTTCCAGCCACAGAAGCTCCGGGCGTCCCCGGCGTACTACATTTGTACTACAAAAGTCGACTTTCCTGCCACGGAAGCTCCGGGTGTCCGGGGCGTACTACGTCTGTACTACAAAAGTCGACTTTGCAGCCACAGAAGCTCCGGGTGTCCGTGGCGTACTACATCTGTACTACAAAAG